AAATTATATATACATCCGTATTAGTTTATTATTAGGTTTGGAACATTTGTTTATTTGAATTTAATATTGTGGTGAATTTGTTAGGTTATGAGCAGGCATTCCTGGAAAGATGAGTCAGCTCAGCCGAAGGTGAAGTACTTGACTCAGGTGAAAGCTCGGCCTCCCACGTTTGTGGCGTTTGTGAGTGGAAAGGCTCGACTCTCAGACACGGACCTGAGATTCCTTACAAAGTCACTAAAGGAGGATTTTGACTTGGGTGGGATTCCAGTGCGGATAATGCAGCGTGTGGTGGTTAGGAACTCTGAGGGTAAAGATGTCACAGGCAGGAAGAGTACACGGCCGGACAGGAAAGTGTGTCAACAAATGGCATCGGCCAAGAGAAGGATTGTTGTCTCTTCGGAAAATGTCCTTGCTGCATGAAGGACTCGATGTGTTAGCCTACCTTTTGTCTGTATATATATGATGATGCTAGATCAGGATGCTTGAAATGGGATTAGAATTCTGAATTTGATTATTGAGTTAATTGATACAAAATATATTAATGTCTCGACATATTATTTTGCACACATTGTCACTTTGTTGGCTACAAATGTTAATTTTATGGCATGACGCTTTAGTACAGTGAGTTTTCGTATGGATTAATTAATTTATGGGAGCACACATCGAATTCTCGCTATTATGACATTCCAAGCAGCTTGGGAAGAAGATATTGAGGTTGGACATGTTCGATTGAGTGTCCAATATAGGCCAATCATCTATCTTCTATATCACATCAACTTTAAATTGTTATTCATTCACTCACATATTTTTACATCATGTCAACTTTGATCATTAGATTTTAAATCCCTCCCTATATATTAATTGAGAACGTGCTGAGTCTATGTGGCAGGCTCGCATGCTTCGGGATCCTATGTGGCAAAAATATATGCTTCGTTATTAGGTTTGGGTAGATTTAGTTTACTTCTAATTCAAATATATTTAGGTTCGGATTATCTATAATATGTTGATTATTTATGGTAAGGGTGGGCGCCGACTGGGACGGTCTTGAATTTGACTTGTCCGGATACCCATCCCACTTTTATGAATCCGTCCATGAACGAGGCACCGTCGCCATTCATGTAATACATTCATGTAATACATGGGTGTTGTACTAGTATTATTTAATTACAAATTTTCTCGTATCACTTAATAACTTAATTCAAAACAACTCATTTTAACTCAGAAGTCAGATCCAATCAAAATCAATTTTAACTTAGTCATGACTTCTTGCCGATTGCTGGTAGCGGAATGGAACTCGCTATCTAACCAGTGGCATAGCATTTTTGGGATATGAAACATAAGCAAAATGCAAAAGAAGGCAGTCATCAACAATCCTAAATAAGGCTACACAAAAGTTTCTCAAGATATCACTAGTTGATAACACAAACTGAAAATTCTTGGATTCACCAACCCTTTGCCACCTCTTCTTCCTCCTTCATCTTCACGGATGTATTCTTATATACAGAGGCGAAAAATGTAGGGACCACCAAAGCCCGTTTCCATTTCAAGCCAACGAGTCCACTCCCGCACACCAAAAATTCCAAACCAACAGCTAACTCTGATCTCTTTCTTGCGTCTCGTCAAAGGCTGAATTCTTCTCAGAAACATCCCCCTCCAAATCCGACTGCAGCTCCTTAAACTTAGCCATCACCTGAATCATGGTCGGCCTCCTAAACGGCTTGTCCTCAAGGCACTGAAACGCAATCCTCAGATACTGGTACAGCTCCGCATCTCCCGACAAATTGGTCATCAACTCGGGATCCAAAATCTCGTGACTCCTCCTCTCCCTATGCAACTGCTTCGCCCACCCAACCAGATTATTATCATCCCCAAACTCCGCCGTGTCTATCGGTTTCTTACCCGACAACAGCTCCAGCAACACCACGCCATAGCTGTACACGTCCCCCTTTGCCGTGCACCGGAAGCTCTGGTAATACTCCGGCGGCACATAACCCGGCGTCCCCGCCAGGCTGCTCACGCTCAGGTGCGTGTCGAGCGCGCTCACCAGTCGAGCCATCCCGAAATCCGACACCCGAGCCTCGAGATTCTCGTCCAGAAGCACATTGCTCGACTTCATGTCCCGGTGGATAATATGCGGTATGCAGCTGTGGTGGAGGAAGGCCAGCCCGCGGGCCGACCCAACCGCGATTTTCTTCCGCGTGGGCCAGTCGAGCCGAGTCCCACCGACTCCCTCGCGGTCGTGAAGCACTGAATCCAAGCTCCCGTACTTCATGTACTCGTACACCAGCAGCCTCTCTTCGCCGACTCTGCAGTATCCCAGTAAAGGCACGAGGTTTCGGTGCTTGATTTTCCCGATGGTTTCCATTTCGGCCATGAACTCGCGATCCCCTTGACCCGTAACGTGGATCAGTTTCTTGATTGCGACTACGCTGCCGTCTTTCAGCTGGGCCTTGTACACGTCGCCGAACCCGCCCGACCCAATTAACGTGTCGGCGCTGAACCCGTTCGTCGCCTCGAGCAGGTGCGCAAACGTCAGCTTCCTGAGCGGCTTCTCGAACGCGGCCACGTTTATGCTGAGCGGCTCGAGCACGCCGGATAATTTCCACGTGCTGCTGCTGGAGGTCGGGAGGCTCTCGATGTACATCTCACGCTTCTCGTCCGTCTTGCGGCTCTTTCTGGCGCGCAAGAGCGCGTAGAGTAGCAGCAGTATGCTGGTGACGGAGAGCGTGACCCCGACCACCATCCCGACTGCCACGCTCGTTTTTTTCTTTTTCCGGGACGGTCCCGAGGCGCGGTGGGCGAAGCCCGGCCCGCAGGGCGGCAACGGGACCCCACAGAGGCCGGTGTTGTTTTCGTATCTCGAGGTTGGGAAAGTCGTGAGCTGTCCCCCGGCAGGGATTGTCCCGGACAAGTTATTGTTGGAGACATCGAAATCGCTGAGGAAGGATAGCCCGACGAGGGAGCCCGGGATAGGCCCGTGAAGCCCGTTATGCGACAGGTCAAGGACACCGACGGTCTTCAGGCCACCCAACGAGAATGGGATTTCGCCCGTTAGTTGGTTGTGGCCGAGGTTGAGGACTTGCAGGTAAGGCATTGTGCCGAGAGCGTCGGGTATGTTCCCCGAGAGGCGATTGTAGGAGAGATCGAGATAAATGAGGCTGCCGTTGGCCGCGAACGTGTACACGGCCGTACCCGAGTAGATTCTTGTGATTGAACACGAGTGGACCATGGGGAAGAATGCCGCCAGCCTGTTCTTGCTGATCCCCTCGAACTCGACGAGCCCACCCGCGCCCCTGCACTGGGTCCCGCCTTCGTTCCTGACGAATGCAAACTGCCGCCCGGTCACGCTGCCGGGACTTATGAGGCCCGTCTGCGCCGCCAGCTCGCCGGGGACTGGGCCGCTGAGCTCGTTGCTGTTGAGGTCCACCCATATGAGGCCCTTGCACTGGCCAATACCTGGCGGGATGGGCCCGCTCAAGGAGTTGTTCCCCAGCTGGAGTATAGCCAGGCGTTGGAGGTTGTTGATTCCGGCCGGGATCTCGCCGGAAATGCGGTTGCTGGCGAGGGTGATCCAAATGAGGTTGGTGCAGTTGACTATTGACTTTGGGATGCTTCCGGTTAGGGCATTGTTGTTTAGGATCAGCATCTGGAGGTTGCCGCCTTTGACGCAAATGCCCTCTGGAATTTCACCCGTCAGATTATTCGCCCACATGACAACATCCGAGAGCTGGGGCAAGCTCCAGATCTTGGCCGGGATTGGGCCTTCCAATGAGTTGAAGCTGAGGTCGATTGATCTGAGGCTTTTGCAAAGCTTGAGCTCTGACGGGACAGAGCCCGTGAGGTAGTTATCGGCCAGCAACAGTTTCTCGAGAGGCGGATTCGGTGTACCCGAACAAAACTCAGAAGGCACATTGCCCATCAGGCTATTCGAGCTGAGGTCTAATACCCGAAGCTGAGTGCAGTTAGTCAAGGAAATCGGGACACGGCCAGTGATATTATTGAACTTGAGGTAGAGGTACTGAAGGCTCTTGAGAGAGCTCACGACCGTGTTCAGAAAATCCCCTGAAAGCTGATTGCTGCCTAGGTTCAAACTGTACAATGACGAACACGCCACGAATCCAGAAGGAAGCCCGCCGATCAATTGGTTACTAGAAAGATCGAGCTCCTCCAGCGTCCGGCAGACGCTACTCAATTCATCTGGAATCTCCCCGAAAAACTGATTGTTGGCCAAACTCAATTTCTTCAAACCCTTCATTTTCCCCAAAATCTTCCCCGGAATCATGTGCCGGATCAGGTTGTGGCTCAGGTCCAGGCTCTCGAGGCTGTCACTGTTGGCAACGCTGGCCGGCAGACTCGAGAGACTATTTTGGGATAAATTGAGCAACGTAAGTTTCCCACATAAACCGAAATCGAAATTCCGGAAATCCCCAGTCAAGTTGTTGCCGGAGAGGTCGAGGTAGTCAAGCGAAGGCACCGGACCAGTTACAAAGCCCGCCGGTAAATCCCCCGAGAAGTGGTTATTGGAAAGGTCGAGGGTGGTGAGCCTGGAGCAGGACGAGATGGAGCCCGGCAGCGGCCCGGACAGCCTGTTCCCCGAGAGGTCGAGCAGGTTCAAGTTCTGGCAGCCGGAGAGGATCGAGCCCGCGAGGCCCAAATCCGAAATCTGGTTGGCTGACAAATCAAGCTGGGAGAGAGAGGGCCCGAACACGAGGCTTCCTCCGGGGATCGAGTTGTGGGAGAGGTTCAAATAAACGAGATCTTGGCACGGGGTGAAAGTGTAATTCGCGGCAAGGGGCTCGGAAAATGCGTTGAATGATAGGTCGACAAACTGGAAACTGCAGGCGAATTTATTATTAGAAGGTGAGGTGAGGTTACCGGAGAAGGAGTTGCCGGCGAAAAGGAGGGTGGTGAGGCCGGTTAACGGCATTAGGTCGGTTAACTGGAGGCGGCCCGTTAGGCCCACATTCCGGAGATCGAGTTTTCCGACCCGGCCTTGGTCGTTGCACGTGACTCCGTTCCAGGAGCAGAGCGCGTCGGAGGAAGTTGGGGCCCACCCGGCCAGGAACCGGTTCGGGTCGGACTGGATTGAGGACTGCTTGAAGGCTAATAAGGTGCCGGCTTCACCACTATTATCGGTCTGCTGCAGATTTCGGGCCCTAATTGAGCCCGAGAAGCAGAGACACAATAAAAGCAGCAGGAGAAAAAAAGATGAGGAGGATATTGGTGATGGTGTTTCCACTTGTTTGTTCGTCGTCATCTTCAATCGGTGTGAACATAAATTTATTTAGAAACTCTTTTATTCTATTATGTATATATTCCTCACTTTCTCCGCCTTGAGCTTCTCCAACCTTTACCTCCCTGAAAGTAGATTTAACAAAGATTTTGAAAATGGGGATAAAATTATGAAAACAATGGCTATCGAGGATGATAACAAAGTTATGAAAGAAAAAAACAATTAAATGAAAATGAAAAGTAGTACCTTTCTATTTCTTTCAACAGCGAGTAGCAGAAGGTGTGAGTTTATTAAGGCAAAAAAGAGTACATGATGAAGATGTTCACCAGTTTTGGATGTGTTGAGAGAGAGAGAGAGAGAGAATGACAAAAAGAAAAAAAATGAAAGAATAAGAGGTTTAATTGCCTGAATGGGTTAGCTTTTTTTTGGGTACGATGTTCAGAGTTGTCGGGTATCACAGACAATATGTGAACTCCATAAATACAATTATCTGTTGTGTACTGTTTTAGTATGGAGCTGCTGTTTGTGTGCAGAAAGAACTGAGAAGAAAAAAAAGAGCAAGTAATATAATTAAAAATAGGAAAAACAGAAGTAGAAAAAGGAAAATCAAAGGGAGGAGGAGGAGATTTTCAAGGAAATGTATCATTTTATCTTATTTCTTTGGTAGGTCCCAGTCAAACATGGGACTCGATTCCTTTTATTTTATATAATTAAATTTTTGTTTTATATCTCTCTTGGTAACAGGTGGTTTTAATAACTTTTTCTTTACGGTGCTGGGATTCCGCGGCGGATACGGCTTAGCCAGAAAATGATTTTCATTGAGAGCCTATTTTCAACGCCAAATAGTAAGATACTGTTGTAGATAATTAATTTAACTGCTTCATAAATTAATGAATTGTGATTATAAATTGTTATAATTTAAGTGCTTCATAAAGTTAAAGAATTGTGATTATAAGCTGTAATAATTTAAGTGGTTTTATAAAGTTAAAGAATTGTGATTATAAATTGTAAGAATTTAAGTGCTTTATAAAGATATGGAATTGGATTATAAATTGTAATTTTTACGTATGTGTGTGTACACATTTGATTGATGAATAATTTTTGTTTTTCTTATAATGCTCTTTTTATTTTTCCCCCATTTCTGTTTTCCTTGTGATATCTTTCAACTATCTACATTACTATGGATAGGACAAACTTCGTTGGTCCACATTGTAAATATTATATCCCATGCATTAGTTGTAGTAGTTAGTAGAGGTTTTTGAGTGCAAGATAGGCAATTAAATTTCATGATTTCTCTTTTTTCCTTTTCTTTATTAACCTATTTCCCAATCTTCCACTTACTCTTTACGAGACAGAGAGAGAAATGTGTCACTCAGGCTGTATATTTTCAAAAATTTCATCATTAAGAATTAAGCAAAAATATTATGACTCAAGCTGTTGTTTGTGGAAAAGGTGACACCTAAGGGGGAGATTAAAAAGAAGAAAAAAATGTTTTGACTTATTTATCGAGTCATTTTTTACAACTTTTAAGTTTTACCTCAAAAATTAATCTATCTATATTTATATAAAGAGATTGTTGGAAAAATACATTAATAGAAAGTTTGACCAAATAAAAATAATATTTGACTTACTATTAATGGAAAGTTCAAAAAAATAAATGTGAATCTTAAGTAACAAAATCTAAATCCTATTTTTTTGGTAACAAATTTGGAGATTCTTATGGCAAAATTTGAATCCCATTTTTTTCGTATCATATTTTATTGTTTTAACCAAAATTTAAATCATCTTTTTTGGTAACAAATTTAGAGATTCTTATGCAAAAAATATGTCAATTATTTATGAAAATAATTCTAAATACAAATTAATTAAAAAACCGTGCAAATTGGATACAAATTTAGGAAGCAAATAGTTGTATAATTCTTAATCAATTCTTCCAATCTTATTGAATACTTTTTTTTTTCAAAAAAAATTGTGTAAATTGGATAAAGACACGTGCAATTTTTATTTTAAAATAAAATTGATATTTGGACGGGATTTACATTCAAAATTGTGTCCACAATTGTTGGAAACAAAAGCGGTTCATCATTGATATTTAACGTCACCTTATCCAATTATTTAGGAAAAATAATGTGCAACTTTTCAAAATTTAAATGCATCGATTTTTTTGGATTCTTATGTTTTTTCTTAACCATGTTTTACAGAGATTTTAGTAAGTTCATATCATTTTCTTTAGAAAAAAGACAATCACATAAACATTAACAATTTATTTTAATTTTTTATTAAAATTATTTTCAATTCAATTTGTTTGGTACAAAAATCGGTGCAATGTTAGCAAAATTCGGTTGCATTTTTAGGAAAAATTGAAGATTTTTTTATTTGATTTAAAAAAATATTCGGATAAATTTGTTTGATAAAAAAATCGGTTTATTGGTAGGAAAATCGGTTTCATTTCCAAGAGTAACTAATGATTCTTTTCAATTTTTTTTAATTGAAATTTAGAATTAGATTTAAATAAATAATGAGTGAAAATCCCTAAAAAATTCTACTTTTGTTTCTACTTTAATTTTGTTTAATAAATAAGATCCTTTAATTTTTTTAAAAATTTATTAACTAATAACTAATAATATGAAATTTTGGACAAATTCGAACACCTATGTAGTAGTTTACGTGACAAAGAATCAAATCAATAATGTTGTACATAAGAAAGTGTTTAATAACATATAAATTTCATTTTCATGAAATTTTTAATGGCATGAGACAATTTAAATACAAAAATACTTTTTAAAAAATAAATAGGTAATAAATGTTCCCGTGCATCGCACGGGTACCGTACTAGTTGTAATATAAAAAGGTTGTTGGAAAAATATAAAATAAGTAACTTTGACTTACAATATTAATTGTTGAGTTACTAATATAAGCAAGATCAATGAGCCCCACATGTCAACCAATTTAATCGGATTTTTATAACAAGTTTGATCGAATTTTGATTACAAATCTCAAATTTTGGTAACAAATTTGATCTTATTTAGATCACAAATCTCGGATTTTGTTAACAAATTTGATCTGATTGTGATAACAAATCTCGGATTGTGATGACAAATCCCGAATTTTGTTAATAAATTTGATCTGATTGTGATAACAAATCTTGAATTTTGATAACAAATCTTTTAAAATATCTATTTTTATATTTGGTAACACACTTCATAGTTATTTACACACAATATATTGCTGATAATCTTTGGGATTTCTTTTGGTAACAAATTTCACAATTTTTTCGATTGTTTGGAGTTAAATATTGCAGAAAAAATCTCGAGATTTGATAAATCATACATATCAAAATAAAAATACTATTTTTCAAACAACCCAAAAAGTCTTACCAAATTAAATTGTAACAAACTTCATTAATTTTTGTAAATATTATGTCACACTGATATGGTACATAATGTTCAAAATAAAATATTAATTATTGACTTACTAATATAAGCAATATCAATGGGCCTCACATGTCAACCAATTTAATCGGATTTTGGTAACAAATTTGATCGGAATTTTATAACAAATCTCGAATTTTTTGTAAAAATTTGATCTTATTTTGATAACAAATCTCGAATTTTGTTAACAAATTTGATCTGATTGTGATAGCAAATCTCGGATTGTGATAACACATCTCGGATTTTGATAACAAATCTTTTAAAATATCGATTTTTTTTTTGTAACACACTTCATAGTTATTTATACACAATATATTGCTGATAATCGTTGGGATTTCTTTTAGTAACAAATTTCACAATTTTTTCGGATTGTTTGGAGTTAAATATTGCAGAAACAAATCTCGAGATTTGATAAATGATACATATCAAAATAAAAATATTATTTTTCAATCAATCCAAAAAGTCTTACCAAATTAAATTGTAACAAACTCCACTAATTTTGGTAAACATTATGTCACATTGATATGACACATAATGTTCACAATAAAAAATTAATTGTTAACTTACTAATATAAGCAATATCAATGGCCCCACATGCTAACCAATTTAATCGGATTTTGGTAACAAATTTAATAGGATTTTGATAACAATTCTCAGATTTTTGCACATGCCAATCAATTTAATCGGATTTTTATAACAAATTTGATCTTATTTTGATAAAAAAGAAATCTCGGATTCTGTTAACAAATTTGATTTGGTTATGATAACTAATCTCGGATTTTGATAACAAATCTTTTACAGTATTGATTTTTTTGGTAACACATTTCATAACTACTTACACACAATATATTGCCAATAATCTCTGGGATGTCTTCTGGTAACAAATATCACAATTTTTTCGGATTGTTTGGAGTTAAATATTGCAGAAATAATCTCGAGAGTTGGTAAATGATACATATCAAAATAAAAATATTATTTTTCAATCAATCTAAAAAGCCTTATCAAATTAAATTGTACCAAACTCCATTAGTTTTGATAAACATTATGTCACATTGATATGACACATAATCTCCAAAATAGAAAATTAATTGTTGACTTACTAATATAAGCAATATCACATGTCAACCAATTTAATGGGATTTTGATAACAAATTTGATCGGATGTTGATAACAAATCTCGGATTTTGATAATAAATTTGATCTTATTTTGATACCAAATCTCGGATTTTGTTAACAAATTTGATCTGATTGTGATAACAAATCTCGATTTTTGATAACAAATCTTTTAAAATATCAGTTTTTTGGTAACATACTTCATAGTTATTTATCCACAATATATTTTCAATAATCTTTGGAATTTCTTTTGGTAACAAATTTCATAATTTTTTCGGATTGTTTGGAGTTAAATATTGCAGAAAAAATCTCAAGATTTGATAAATGATACATATCAAAATAAAAATATTATTTTTCAATCAATCAAAAAGTCTTACCAAATTAAATTGTAACAAACTCCATTAATTATGGTAAACATTATGTCACATTGATATGACACATAATGTTCACAATAAAAAATTAATTGTTAACTTACTAATATAAGCAATATCAATGGCCCCACATGCTAACC